GGGAAGATCCATGGTCCAGATACGTTCGGGGGCTCCCAGACTGTGTGGTGACCACACCGTGCGGTGAATCCGTGGAGACGTGGGGTGTGGGGTGGCCGCACGGTTTTGGGACTCGGGTCGTTCTCCGCGGATGTCTCGGGCGATTGGGGTCTCCAAGATTCCAAAAACTTGCGGTGACGGACGGTGCGTTGAGGTCTTTCGAGATTTCTACGTCACCGCACGGTCTGTCACCACACGGATTTGGGGATCCCCGGGCCAAGTGAGACTTGAGCCAAAATGGCTACGGACACACAACACACGCACACAAAACACACACAAATACACGCACGCGCGAATGCACGCGCGCGCGCACGCACGCCCGCCCGCCCGCACGCACGCACGCACGCACATACACACATGCGCACGCACTGAACAAGAGGGTGGGCATCTACCAGGCCGAGCCAGGATCAGTCCGATCAGCTCTCGAAGTCAAAAGCGCGGGTCTGTTTGGGGCCCTCTGGAGCCCCACCGGGGCCCTTTCGGGTTCTTCGGAGGGCCCTTCCCGACTTGCTTGACGCCACCGTGGCGGCCAGTGGCAAAAAAGCTGCCATGAAGTAGCCCTGCCAGTTTGGAGCAGTACAGCCGTCTCTTGGAGCTCTCGTGGAGCTGTCTCGGGGTGCTGCTGGGCTCTTCGGGCACCGCATGTGGCTCCTCCTGGGTCCTTCATGCACCCTCTCTCTCTCTTTCTCACTCTCTCTGGCCATCCCGACGTCATAGCGTTGTATCCGAGGCCCATCGAATGAGAAATTGCGGAAAGGCACACCCTACGTAGAGGCCGCCAGTGTCTTTAGACGGTGGCGGCCCTTCGGAAGAATGTAGGGGAGGCCCCGCCGCAAATTTGATGGCACCCATGGGCATTTACGGGGCATCATGCGATCGCCTGGTCGCCTTCCGCCAGAAGCACAGCGCCGACGAATCAGCCACCGTAGCGTCAGTTTGAACAGCCTCAGTAAACGTAGGAGCCGGTAGTGACCATAGGACCCAAACGCCCCCATGATTTGGAACATGTGTGCCACAGTGCGATTCCCCAAGGCGCCCGCAGAGGACCCTTGGGAGGCTGGGATGCCCGACGCTGTCAGATCTCATCGCGGTCCCTTTCCACCAGCGTCCGGTCTTGTCGCGGTGGCATTCGATAGGGTCTCATGACGTCGCGCAGTCGGGCTGCCTTTGACCTCGCTTTAGTGAGCGATGTGGGGGAGAAAAGGCTGGCGGCGGACCCAGCAGATCGCATGCCTGGAAGCCCTCACGAGGAATCTCTGGTTGGCCTCTTGGGAGCCTCTTCGGGTCTCTCGGGGGGTTCTTGGGATCTTGTCGGAGGATTGTTGGATCCTCTTTGGCTCCTGTTGGCGTCATTTCGGGGCCTGGGACAGACGCCGAAAGTTTCGCGATGACCGGGGATCCGTACCTCTTGCGGGCCGTTCGGAGACCACCTGGAGGCCCCCTGGATAACACTTTGGGGTTCCATCGGGGCCATCTTGGGGCCAGAAGGTCCTGACGATGAAGTGCCAACGAAGGGGCCGTTGGTACCACTGCCTACCAGGGGCCTCCTCCAGGTTTCCCTCGGAAGGGTCCGCCCGGAAGGTCCGCGCCCACCCCGTTCGTCAGGCCCGCCCCTTCGCCTGCTTGGCGGGCCCGCCCGCTGGCTCCCTGCGTCCCGCCCGCCTGCTGGCCGCCTTCGCCGGAGCTCCCCGCCTCTCCCGACCCGCCCTCTCGGGCCCGCCCGCTCGCTCCCCTCCCCGCCCGCCCGCCTCTCCGTTTCCCCCTCCCCGCGCGCTCGCTCCCCTTCCCTCCTCACGCTGTTCCCTCCTCCTCCGCCTCCCGCCTCTTCCTGCCTCCTTTCACAGGGTGGCTCAGCGCTCAGGTAGTACGGCGGCGCGGAGGACCTGGACTTCCCTCCTCTCGCTGCTGTTGCTGCTGGCCCGCCTCCCCCCGTGGTCGCGTACGCTCCCGCCTCTTCCTGCCGCCGCCCCCACCGATCTCTGCCCCCGCTCCGCCGCGGCGGCGCAGAACTGCGGGAGCCGTGGTACGAGCGACTGCAGCGCTGGGAGGACGCCCTGGAGGCTTACGAGATGCGGCAGCTGGAGGAGGGGGACACTCCTGCATACTCCTGCATCGCCTCCCGTCCTGCTCTTCCTCCTCCTCCTCATCATCCTCCTCTTCCTCCTCCTCCTCCTCTCTCTACGGTTCCTCTGTCCTTCTACAGCGCTGCTTGCGGGACGTTTGGTGTCCAGTTGGCAGAGACATGCCGAGCGGTTGTGGTTTACAGCCAGGGCACACGCGTCAAAGGGCGGGTGAGCGCACCACACAGGGTGGCCATGCCGAGGACCGAGAAGTGTGTGTGTGTGTGTGTTTGTGTGTGTGCGCGCGCGTGTGTGTGTGTGTGTGCATGTGTGCGTGTGCGTCTGTGTGAACTTGTGAGCGTGAGTGTGTGTGTGTGTGTGCGTGTGTGTGTATGTGTGTGAATGAGTGTGTGTTTTACGCCGCGCCGCCGCGCGTGTGGCCGCATCGTCAACTCGTTGTTTTGTGTGTTGTGTGTTCGTGTGTGTTCGTGTGTACGAATTCATTCGTGTGTTAGTGTGTGTATGTGTGCTTGTGCTTGTGTGTGTGCTGTGTTTGCGTGTGTATGTGTGTATGTTTGTGTGTGGGTGGGGGGAACTTGCTTGAGGCTTCGCCGAAGTTTGACAGCACCGGCAGCCCGATTCAACCCGTGCGAAGCGGCATGCGGCGCAACGGCCTCGCTCGTCGTACAGACCATCGCGCCGAGGTGGGCGGCTCTTAGCGGTGACCTTTAGTCCGAAGGCCTGTTGGGAAATGGCCCGCCGGACCTATTCGGAAGTGCAGGCAAGGGCTCGCGACACAACGCTGCGGATTTGACACGCAAGAAGCACCAGGGTATAGGCAGGACGGGGAAGGACTGCAGCACAACGAGCAGAGAGTATATGAGGAAGCGGTGAAGGAGGATGAGAAGCAGAAGGAGGAGGATCAGGAGGAGGAGGGGCGTTCGATATTTCAGGGAGGGGGGGGGCTTAGAAGCCACTGCACTCCCCGAAATCGTCCCGAACCGTCCTCGCGGCTTCCCCCTCCCTCAAAGTCGACCTCGGACGTGTCCTGCATCGCATCGGGACCAGGATCCCGAGGCGGACCTGGCTGTGGGCGACGAGGGCCACCTCTAGAGGGAGGCCCCACGAAGGGCAAAGCGCGCCAGCATTCCTTTGATCCTGGCCCCGAGGGGTTGGCTTCCAGTGGTACGACGGTGGCGAGCTTTTGGGCCCCCTCTCGGGGGCGGGCTTGGGAGCATAGGTCCCTCGTCCAGCGTCCCGGTCCGACCCTGGGCCGGTCTTGGGGGCCCCCTGGGCCGCCTCGGACGATCTTGGGAACGATGCGGTGAGAATTCTGAGGTCATGCGGGACCTGTCGGGTGCAACCGGTTTGGGCCTCTTGGGCTGGGCCTCCGGGGGCTCCGAGACGGCCGCGGAGAATCAGAAGTGCCGAAGTTGGCCGAGATTGGTCCCTGAGAGTGCTCTGGCGGGCCAGGGCACCCGCTGGACTGCCAGGGGGTCTTCAACATTTCCAGAATATCCTGCTCTTCCTGCTCCTCCTCCTCCTGCTCCTCCACTTCATCCTTCTGCTCCTCCTCCTGTTCCTCCCAGAGGCTCCTCCTCCTCCTCCTGTTTCTGTTCCTCCTCCTCCTCCTCCTCCTCCTCCTCTTCCTGTTTCTGCTCTTCCTGTTCGTCTTCCCCTCCTAGAGACTCCCCTCCTTCCTTCTCTCCTCGCCCCGCCTTCCTTTTCCCTTCCCTCTTTGGACTTCAACCTCCTTTCCTCCTCCCCTCCTCCATCCTTCCTTCGTCACCTGTCTCTTCTCCCTTCTTCCTGAGCTTTCCCCACGTCCTCACCGCCCCAGGAGCCCTCTGGACACCTCTCCTCGACTCCACAAACCTTCCGATGGTACCCGTGGACAACCTCCTCCTCGTCCTCCTCCACTTTCTTTTCTCCCTTCGCCATCCCCCCTCGCTTTTCCCTTCTCCCTCCCCATCTCAAGTCGCGTGCATGTGGGGAGCCCCCCGCCCGTTCTTCGCATGAAAGAGAGCGCATTCTGCCGCTGCTGGCAGGGGGGGGGGTTCAAACCCGTCCAAAGCCGGGGTTCCAGACCCCCCCCCCCGGGACAATTATTCGGGGGGCCCAGGTCGGGGGCCCCCAAACGGGGTGGTGACCACACTGTGTGGGGATTCGGGGTCACTGCACGGTTTTGGGACTCGGGTCGTTCTCCGAGGACGTCTCGGGCGACTGGGGCGTCCGAGGTCCCAAAACCGTGCGTTGACGGGCCGTGTGGTGAGGTCTTGGGGGATTTCGAGGTCACCGCACGGTCTGTCACCGCACCGTTTCGAGACTCCAAACCAGAATCCCCGCCCCCCCCCCTTCCCTCCTTGGGAAACTAATTCAGTGGGTCTCGAGGCCCCCCGCAACGATGTCCACGCACGACGCCACAAAGACCACGACGACGCCGACGCCGACGCAGCCGCCGCCGACGACGATGACGAGAACGACAACGACAACGACGGCGACGACGAGGACGCCTACGACAACGATGGCTCCGACGACGACGACTATCGAGCTTGAGTGGGATGCGATGAAAGCTGTGTCGAGCCCGCGTCGGATGTCGTTCACATCAGGTCGAGCCCTCGTGGAATTTCAGTAGAGCTGAATCCAGCCCCCGTAGGATTCTGTCAAAGGTGGACCGAGCCCAGAGCCGGATCAAAGATCGTACACATGTTGCATCAATGTTGATTTCTGTAGAATCCCATCAGACCTGGGCCCAGCCCTGATATGATTCTACGAGAGCCGGACCCAGCCGTAGTAGGAGTCTTCAGCTGGAACGCGTCCTCCGAAGCCATGATGGCTCAAACGGGGACGAACGCCCGAATTTTCACAAAGTAACGCGCTCTGAGCGCCAGGCAGTTGCCCATGGCGCGCCCGCGAGCATCCACGTGTGGCTCACTCGTGGCGGCGGTCGCCGCTCTCCTGCTGAGGGTGGGCGCTGGCCAGGCGCCGCCTGGCGAGAGCAGCGTGACTGGGCGCTTCCTCAAAAGCGATCGCTCCGCGATAGTGGACGCAACTGGGGCTGTGCTGAGTTCACCCAGCGCAGGCGAGTCGAGGAGGCTCATGCGGGCAGAGCCCGCGCAAGGCCAACGACGCGGTGTAACGGCCGCGCAGACGCCGACGCCAGCGCCGACCGAGGACCCACTCAAGGGCGCCGCGAACTCCGACGACGACTCCGACGAGGCTCCGACGCCGAAGCCTACGCCGAAGCCGACGGCGGCGCCGAGCAATGACGACTCCGACAAGGCTCCGACGCCGAAGCCTACGCCGAAGCCGACGGCTGCACCGACCGACGACGACTCCGACAAGGCTCCAACGTCGAGGCCTACGCCGAAGCCAACGGCGGCGCCGACCGACGACGACTCCGACAAGGCTCCGACGCCGAAGCCTACGCCAATGCCGACGGCGGCACCGACCGACGACGATTCCGACAAGGCTCCGACGCCGAAGCCTACGTCGAAGCCGACGGACGACGACTCCGACAAGGCTCCAACGCCCAAGCCTACGCCGAAGCCGACGGCGGCACCGACCGACGACGATTCCGACAAGGCTCCGACGCCGAAGCCTACGTCGAAGCCGACGGACGACGACTCCGACAAGGCTCCAACGCCCAAGCCTACGCCGAAGCCTACGCCGAAGCCGACGCCGAAGCCGACGGCGGCACCGACCGACGACGATTCCGACAAGGCTCCGACGCCGAAGCCTACGCCGAAGCCCACGGCGGCGCCGACGGACGACGACTCCGACAAGGCTCCGACGCCGAAGCCTACGTCGAAGCCGACGGACGACGACTCCGACAAGGCTCCAACGCCCAAGCCTACGCCGAAGCCGACGGCGGCACCGACCGACGACGACTCTGACAAGGCTCCAACGCCGAAGCCTACGCCGAAGCCGACGGCAGCGCCGACCGACGACGACTCCGACAAGGCTCCGACGCCGAAGCCTACGCCGAAGCCCACGGCGGCGCCGACCGACGACGACTCCGACAAGGCTCCGACGCCGAGGCCTACGCTGAAGCCGACGGCGGCACCGACCGACGACGACTCCGACAAGGCTCCGACGCCGAAGCCTACGCCGAAGCCGACGGCTGCGCCGACCGACGCCGATTCCGACAAGGCTCCAACGCCGAAGCTTACGCCGAAGCCCACGGCGGCGCCGACCGACAAGGCGCCAACGCCGAAGCCTACGCCGAAGCCGACGCCGAAGCCGACGGCGGCACCGACCGACGACGATTCCGACAAGGCTCCGACGCCGAAGCCTACGCCGAAGCCCACGGCGGCGCCGACGGACGACGACTCCGACAAGGCTCCGACGCCGAAGCCTACGTCGAAGCCGACGGCGGCACCGACCGACGACGACTCCGACAAGGCTCCGACGCCGAAGCCTACGCCGAAGCAGGCGGCGTCACCCGAAACGGCGCCAACGCCGAAGCCTACGCCGAAGCCGACGGCGGCACCGACCGACGACGACTCCGACAAGGCTCCAACGCCGAAGCCTACGCCGAAGCCGACGGCGGCGCCGACGGACGACGACTCCGACAAGGCTCCAACGCCGAAGCCTACGCTGAAGCCGACGGCGGCACCGACCGACGACGACTCCGACAAGGCTCCAACGCCCAAGCCTACGCCGAAGCCGACTGCAGCGACGACCGACGACGGCTCCGACAAGGCTCCGACGCCGAAGCCAGCACCAACGCGAAGGACGAATGCCACAAATCTCTCCAACAACTCCAACAAGACTTCTTCAGTGCCGACCCCGTCCCCGCATGCTTCCCAAGAGTCCGATGGCGGAAATTCTTCGAATGCCACCAACTCTACGAACGAGACGAATGACAGTTCCAAGGTCAGCGCTCCGCAATTGGCTCCCAAAGAGAAGAGCAAACTGAAGCCCGGCATGGAAGATGGCCAACGTGATGCGTCTGCCCTTCGCAACTCCAGCTCGGCGCCGAGTCCTACTCCTGCCCCTACGCCGAGTCCTACGCCGCGTCCCACGCCGCGTCCTACTCCTGTCCCTACGCCGAGTCCTACGCCGCGTCCCACGCCGCGTCCCACGCCTGCCCCTACGCCGAGTCCCACGTTTGCCCCCACGCCGAGGCCTGCGCCTGGGAACGAAACCCTGGACAAGACCGACTGCGAGTGGGGCGACTGGTCCGAGTGGGAGACGTGCACTAAAACTTGTGGAGGAGGCCTCCGCATCAAAACCCGCAACGTCGCCGTCAGAGCCAGCGACGGCGGCAAGGAGTGCGTGGGCTCGCCGAAGAAGACCCAGGCGTGCAACGTGCTCGACTGCCCTATCGAAGACGCCTGCGGCGAATCACCGCCGTCCCCTGCCTTTTGGAAGCGCCTATGTTGCCGAACGTTGCGGCCAGAGTTCGGCCAAGCTATCGGATTGTGTGTTACCCCAGCTGGTGTGGAACCCCCTTGGGAAACACATGGGGAGAAGAGGAGGAGGAGGAGGAGGAGGAGGAGGAGGAGGAGGAGTCCTCTTTGGAGCGTCTTGGGGCACTCCTTGGGCCTCCTGGAATCTTCCTGGGGGCTCTTCGAGACCGTCGCCTGGGGGCTTCTTTGGGGCTTTTGGAAGCTCCTGGGGAGGCTCTTTGGCCGTCTGGTGGCATTCCTGGCCCGTCTGACGTCGTCGGAAGCCGTGTTGTGGCCGACCCTGGGCCCTGTTGGAGCGCTTCAGGGCCGTCTTGGAGGCCATCTTGGGCGTGGTCCTGAGCCGTCTTGGAGCACTCTTGGGGCTGTCTCCGGGGCCTCGTGGGCCGTGAGGGGGGCCACCTCGGAAGCCTCTTCGGTGCTCTAGGGGCCATCTTGGTGGCCTCTGGGGTCGTCTTGGGCCGTCGCAAGGGCGAAAATGAGCAGCAGCAGCAGCAGCAGCAGCGACAATGAGTCGGCTTCTGCTGCTTATGCTGCAGTAGCTCTGGCCTCTTGCGGCCGTCCTGGAGGTCCTCTCGGAGGCCTCTTGGCCCGTGTTGGAGGCCTATTGTTCTTCCTTGGGCGATCTTGAGGCTATTTGGGCGTCTTGGGCCGTCCTGGAGACATCCTGCGGCCATCCTGGGCCTTCTCGGGGCCATCTTGGCCGTCTTGGAGGCCGTCTCGAGACCGCTGGGTGAAAAGACCGACGGATCTGACATTTCGGCGGCCTTCTGGGTGGCGGGCGGGATCGGCCGAGGGCCCCCTTGGGAACTTTTAATAAGTAAGCGAGCTTGCCAAGCTCTTGCCGCGCCGTGCGTCCCCGTGGCAGGCCCCGGGGGGCGGCGGATGCAGCTGCCCTCGGCCAGGCTTGCCCCCGTGCCAGCGCAGCTTCTCCGGTGGCAGCTGCTCGAGTCGATGACGATGACAAGACGCGGATGATGCTGACAGGAGGAGGATTGTGGCGGACGAGGGGTATGAACACACGATGGCGATGTTGATTGTGATGGTGATGGTGATGGTGATGGTGTTGGTGATTATGTTGGTTATGATGATGATGCTGATGGTGATGATGATGACGATGATGATGATGCTGATGATGATGATGATGATGATGATGATGATAGTGATGATGATGCTGCTGATGATGATGCGGGTGGTGTTGATGATGCTGATGCTGCTGATGATGATGAATCTGTTACTGTGAATGCTGATGTTGATGATGGTGCTGATAATGGTGGTGATGATGGTGACGATGTTGATGATGATGATGGTGGTGATGCTGATGGTGATGATTCTGACGACGGTGGCGATGGTGATGCTGCTGCTGATGATGACGACGATGACGATGAAGATGACGATGACGATGGGGATTACGATGCTGATGATAGTGGTAATGATGGTAATGGTGATGCTGCTGATGATACTGATGTGGAGTAGGATGATGACGATGTTGCTGCTGATGATGCTGATGCTGATGATGATGATGATGATGATGATGATGATGATGATGATGATGATGGTGATGATGGTGATGATGGTGATGGTGACGCCTATGATGATACGGCTGCTTATGCTGCTACTGGTGATCATGCTGCTGATGATGGTGGTGATGATGAAGAAGAAGATGAAGCTGATGACGATTATGCTGTTGATGCTCCTGCTGCTGATGATGATATGGCGGAGGAGGCGAGACGAGACAAGACGAGACGAGAACATAACGAAATCATGAAATATGATCGGAGGCCCGTGCAACTCAGCGGACGGAGTACTCCACGCGGCCGATGCCTTCCAAGCCTCCAGATTCGTAGCCGAAAGAACTCGCCCAGGCAGTGAGTTTGAAGGCATTCACCAAGAAGCTCGAAATCGCGAACTTTACATCTGCTTGCAATGCGCACCCACAACATTTGTCGCAGTGGGTACGGGAGGGGCAGAACTGGCCATCTTCGCCGTGGTCGCGGCGAAGTCTCGTAACAGCTCGCCCACGTTGACCGCTGCACTGATCCTAGCGCTGTAGCTGATGGTGTTGGGCTCTATCGTCGCCTTCACTTCTCGCACTTCTCGCTGGGCTCTATCTTCGCCCTCCCATTCTCGCACGCCCTGATCCCAGCGCTGTAGCTGACGGTGTCGGGCTCTATCGTCGCATTCCACTCCTCGCATGCGCTGTTCCCAGTGCTCTGGCTACTGATGTCTGGCTCTATCTCCGCCTTCCACTTCTCGCACTTTCCACTTGGCTCCGGCTTCCCCTTCTCGCATGCGCTGGTAACAGCGCTGTCGCATATGGTGTCGGGTTGTATCCTCGCCTTCCACTTCTCGCACGCGCTGTCCCCTTCGCTGGGGCTAGCGATGTCGGGCTCTACGTTCGCCTTCCCCTTCTCGCACGCCTTTTCACTCCGAACAACACCAAATCGGCCAGCAGGAGACGCTCCACCACGACCATGCGCTGCAGCAGCGGCCGCCGCCGCTGCCTGCGCCGCAAGCGCAGCCGCCTGCGCCGCCTTGGCCACGCGGATCCTCGTGATCTCTTGCTGCAGCCGCCACTCCTCGATGCCGTAGCCGTCGGGCTCTAGCCTCGCCTTTCCCTTCTCGCTTGCCCTGATCTCAGCGCTGTAGCTTATGGTGTCGGACTCGTTCGTCACCTTCCACTTCTCGCACGCACTGATCCTAGTGTTGGGGCTAGCGATGTCGGGCTCCAGCTTCGCCTCTTCCCTCTCGTACGCCTTCCACTTCTCGCACGTTTGGCTTGGCTCCGGCTTCCCCTTCTCGCATGCCCTGATAACAGCGCTGTAGCCGATGGTGTCGGGCTCTATCTCCGCCTTCCACTTCTCGCACGCGCTGATCCAAGTATTGGGGCTAGCGCTGTCGGGCTCCAGCTTCGCCTCTCCCCTCTCATACGCCTTCGACTTCACGCACGTTTCACTTGGCTCTTGCTTCCCCTTCTCGCATGCCAGACAGCAGCGCTGCAGCGGTCGGTGTCGGGCTCTAGCTTCGCCTTCCACTTCTCACACGCGCTGACCCCTTTGCTGCGGCTAGCGAGGTCGGGCTGTACCTTCGCCTGTCCCTTCTCGCACGCTCTGGTTCCAGCGTTGCAGCTGATGGTGTCGGGCTCTATTTTCACCTTCCGTTCCTCGCACACGCTGTCCCCAGTGCTGTGACTAGCGATGTCGGGCTCTAGCTTCGCCTTCCCCTTCTCGCACGCCCTGTCCCCAGCGCTGTAGCCCATGGTGGCGGTCTCGATTTCCGCCTCCCGCTTCTCGCGCTCCTGCCACTGCCCGCCAGTGCTGGGCTGCCACTGCTGCTCCTCGTAGGCCCCCGCCCACAGGAGGCCCCACCAGGGCCAGGGCTGCTGGAGCCTGGCCGCCCAGCCGTCCACCTCGGCCTGGCGGCAGGTGGCCCGACGGAGCCCTCGATCTGCGCGGCGGCGGTTGCTGCCCACGGCCACGAGGGGGCCTCCCGCCGCCGATGGGCCCACACCACGTCGCAGCATGCAGCATGCTGGCCGCGCACGCGCGCCTCCTCCGGGGCCCTCTTGGAGCCGTCTTGGGCCGCGCAGGTGTGCTCTCATCTCAGGCAGTCTCGAATCCCTTCGGAGGTCTTTTGGGCGAGCTTGAGGTCCTCGAGGGTCCGTCCTGGGCTGTCCTGGGCACTCCTGGGCTGTCGTGAGGCCGTTCTGGAGGCCTCTGGCGCCATGTTGATGCCCTCTTGGACCGTCGTGGGGCCGTTCTGGAGGCTTCATGGGCTGACTTGAGCTCATGAAAGCTCGAAGAGGTGAGAACGCGAAAATCCATCCGACACCTACGGGATGTGTATATATATATAGATAGACATATGTACATGTATGTGTGTGTGTGTGTGTGTTCTGGCGTCTTGCCCTGCTGGAGGTTCTCTTCGGGCCCTCTTGGGCCGTATCAAGAGCGTCCTGGAAAGTCCTGAGGCCATGTTTGACAGTCTTTGGAATATGCTGGGCCGTCTTGGGGGCATATTGGGCCGTCTTGGTAGCCTTGGAGGCTTGCCCGAGCCGTGTTGGAAGCCGTCTGAGGCATCTTGGGCCTCGGGAGCGGGCTGGGATGCGTGCGGCAGTCCGCCAGAACATGGGGGGGCACCTTGGAAGGCTGCAGAAACCCTGCCAGGCCAGCACCTGGCACTTCACCACGCCTCTGCGTGCCAGGGGGCACGCCGGCGGATTGACTGCAAGTGGACCGAGTGGGAGGACTGGAGCAAGTGCTCCAAGGAGTGCGACTTTGGTCAGCAGTCGCGCACCCGGTCGGTGTCCGTGGAGGCCAGATACGGAGGCGACAATTGCAGTGGCAACGCCACGGAGATCAAGCCCTGCAACTCTTTTGGCTGCCCCGTGGACTGCATGTGGGGAGGCTGGGGCGGCTGGAGCGCCTGCTCGCGGACCTGCGCCGGCGGCAGAAGGGAGCGGACGCGCCGGGTCATGACCGAGCAGAAGTACGCGGGCAAGAGCTGCAAAGGGAACGACACGCAGCGGGAGGCTTGCAACGAGGTGCCGTGCCCCGTGGATTGCGCCTGGGACGAGTGGGGCGGCTGGGACAAGTGCTCCAAGCCGTGCGGCAATGGCACCGCCAGCCGCACGCGGAACGTCAGTGTGCACGCGGCACACGAGGTCAGCATCGCCTGACCCATCCCCGTCCCCACCGGGCCATGGCACCTCGGTCCCACCGGCCCATCATCCTGGGCGGGGATAAGCCCCGCGCAGCCCGAAGGGACAGGCAGGATGTCCCCACCCAGGTGGGCAGGTCGGCCCGCAGGGCCGAGGCCACGCCCGTGGGGATGGGGATCGGCTCGTCAGCGCTCGCGAGGGCAAGCAGTGCGAGGGCCTCGGACGGGAGGACAGGGCCTGCAACGAGGAGCCGTGCCCGGTGCCCTGCGAGTGGACGGACTGGAGCAGCTGGGGCAGCTGCACGGCAACCTGCGGCGGCGCGACCCGGGCGCGGAATCGCACGAAGCGTGTGGAGAGCCAGTTCGGCGGTGCCCCGTGCACGGGCGCAGGCAGCGAGCAGGAGGCATGCCAGACCTCGCCCTGCGCGGTGGACTGCTCGTGGCAGGACTGGGGGCCCTGGGGGACGTGCATCTGCGGCGCCGGCAAGAAGTACCGGACACGCGAGATGAATCTGGAGCCTGGCGGTGTCCCAAAGAAGGTGGCGCAGGGGGGTGGGCCTCTGAGGAGGCGGCGGCGCTCCTTCGAAGGCAGGGGCCTTCTCTTGGAGGTCCCAGGGGCTCCAAAGGAGGCGTCTCAGCAGCCGCTGGGCCCTGCCAAGAAGCCGCCCTGCCTTCCCCTAGAAGGCCGCCCCGCCGCCTTCCCTCACGGGAGAGGCGGCCCCCTCGCGCCACACCCCCCTCTCGGGCTGCCGCGCCGAGGAGTCCGACGGCGGCCTGAGCTGCCCCGACAAGGACACCGGGGGCATGGAGAAAGCCGCCTGCGACCCCAGCGAGGCCTGCGTGAGCGCGGTGAAGGCCGTGGACTACGGCAACGGGTCCGCGCCAGAAGCCCCTCCCAACGGGACCGACGCGGCCAAGCCAGGCGCCAGCAACGGGACCACCGTCAGCTCGAGATCCGTCACCAAGCCCCTCGACGCTGTCAACGGGACCGAGCCGGACACGAACAACTCAGTCGATCAAGATGCTATCCCACCTGCTGGCGACGGGACCGATCCCAAGGGTGCCAGCAACGCCAGCGGCACAAGTGACACGACCAGCTCCGGCACGAACGGCTCCGATACGGACAGCTCGGGCACGAACAGCTCAGACACGAGCAGCTCGGGCACGAGCAGCGCCTCCAACGCCTCCAACGCTTCCAACGCCTCCAACGCCTCCAACGCCTCCAACGCCAGCGGCAACGGGACCTCCGGGTTCTTCGGACAGGTCGTGGGCAGCATCCAGTTCACTGTCGGCAGGGGCGAGGCATCGTCCTTCGTTAACACGTCCAGCGCAGCAACTGCGATGCGCGAGGCCATAGCCGCGCTGGCAGGGGTGCCTCCGGCACCGGTTCATGCAAACGTGACTGTGCTCCAAAACGGCACCCTGGCCGTTAACTTTTCCGTGGAGATGGCCGAGGTGTCGGGCGTCGGTTATGCGGACGAGCAGAGTTTTGCGCAGGCGTTGGCGAAGAAGGACACGCCCAGCATCCAGGATCGGGCGGTCCGAGGGCTTTGGCATCGCTCGGACGTGTCCATTTTTTCTCGGCGAGAACCATCGAGGACCATCCTGAACCATCGAGCAAAAAAACACGCGCGAAACCGAACAAATGCGCGGGACATGGACGTCCGAGCGACGGCAAGGGGCAGGGGGTAATTGGCACAGGAGGGGGCGGAGGCGGGGGCGAAAGCTGCTGTGTGCCGCCGGCTTCGGCTCAGACGCTGGGCGCATGCCTCGAGTCGCCGCATATATCAGCAGCTGCACGCAGCCGGCTCGCCGGGCCTCCTTGTGCGCCGACCCCCCCCCCGTGGCTTTCGAGTCGTAGCGCGGCTCTCCTGGCGGCCGTTCGGGACGTCTCGGGCACCCCCCAGGGGACGCTCTCGGCGAGGCGCGGCCGCTGGGAGGCATCCCGAGGCCTCGGGGGCCGCGGAGGTCCGACGAGCACGTCCCGAAGAGCCTCGAGGAGAGGCCCCCCCCCTCCCGGCCGCGCCCCACAGGAGGAGGTCAACCTTGCCCTCGCCAAGCACGACCTCGACTACGCGGTGCAGGTGCGCGACGCCGAAAAGCGGGGTCGTCTTCGCTGACATTGGCGCGTGAGCCGCCCTCGTAGGGTCGCGCGTGAGCGCCCTCGTTTCCAGTGCCGCGTGCCGCGCTGGCGGCCCGCGTAAGCCACCGCGCAGGGTCGCCATGCCATCTCGCCTAATACCCATGTCTGATCGTCGCCTAGATAGGCATCCCGCGAGCCATTGCGCAAGTCGTCGTCTTTCGGGCATCGAGGGCTCTACGTACACGCGCCGGGAAATGGGGCTCCAAGCCGCGGAGGGCAGCTGCGCCAAGTCCTCCCCCTCCTCCATCCCTCTCCGTCCCTCTCCTCCCTCTGCCTCCTCCCCGTTCCTCTCCGTTTCTGACCTTCGCTCAGGTGCAGGCCATCGAGGCGGAGGCGAAGACCGAGGTGCAGAACAGCGGCGCCGCCGTGGCCCGCGCCCGCGCGGCTCTGCTCCTCGCCGCCGCGGCTGCGGCGGTGCTGAGCTTGTGATGCACGGGCCTGCGCGTGGGACTGGGAGAGGAGGACGAGGAGGCCGAGAAAGAAGAAGAGGATGAACAGGAGGAGAAAGAGGAGGAGGAGCAGGAGAAGGAGGAGAAGGAGGAGGAGGGGGAGGAGGGGGAGGAGGAGGAGGAGGAGGAGGAGGAGGAGGAGGAGGAGGAGGAGGAGGAGGGAGGAGGAGGAGGGAGGAGGAGGAGGAGGAGGAAACGAGTTTTCCGCCAGGAGCAGCTGCCTGCAAACCTCCGATGCACCCAAGGAGTTACAGGCAGGAGCAGTAACTGCAAACGGCGGGCAGCCCAGCGATGTTCGAACAACTAGAACTCAGGCTGCAGGCCCCACTCTAACGCCTACCCGAGGTAGGAGATGCTTCAGACTGCACATTCGGGCCGTCTACTGAGCTCTGGTGAGCGAACGTCGGCCATGCACGATGGCCTGACGCTCTTGGGCGAGGAGCCTGGGCGGGCCCTATGCATATCTACCGCGCTCGTTGCAGAAAGCACAGCCGCTCTTCTGCCACAACACGTGGGACTGATATAGCATGTGGCTTCGCCACCCCTAGTCTGCCAAAACAGCATCACTGCATCAACCGAAAAAGCTGCTCCGCGAATGGTGGCAAGGATGCAGGCCTAGACGGACGAAGGACACAGACACGAGCAGGCGCTAACGACAGATGCAAGGGAATCTCCGGCAGAACAACTGGGCCTGGGCCTGGGCAGGGGATTCGGCCTCAGAGCTCACGCATCCAGCCATTGGGAAGCGATGTCCAGGAGTGGGGGGATGCTTCCCAAACTCGGTGTGCCAGGGCCGCCCTTCTCTGCACCTTCGGAACCTTCTCGGGACGAAGAACGCTGTTGGGATCCTTAGGGGAGTTGGCCGATGGAATCGCGAGAGAAGCATACCGAAGGAGGATGACTTAGTCTGGCATGCTTGCAATCGTTGGACACCTGGGCGCAGGAAGCTCGCTCCTCGGCGAGCCCGTCGACCACGGTGTTGGCATAGATCGCACCTGCCTGGAAAGACGCATCGAACCTGGCAAGCTGTACACCATCCTCGTCAAGATGAGATGGGACATGAACGAGGAAAAGAGAGGCAGACCTAGCATCAGCTAGAGACGACAACTCGTATCAGAGATATGCATTCTCGAGCTTGACACAGTGAGATCTGCCATTGAGGTAGGCTCACATATGGTTCACATGATCAGACATAACGGTGAGTGCAGCATCTCGGTGGACAGCCCTAAGCACTTCAACCAGGGCTAACAACTCAGCACGCGGAACCGTGTGCTTGGGGCTGTCCATCAACCCCGTGCAGCTCGAGTCCCAAGAGAGTTGTGTGGCCCACACCAGGCGGATAACCCCCCAAGCAATTCGACGTTGCAAAAGCTATCGTCGGCCTCCCGACCCGTCAGCCGATAGACTCACCTGGGAGTGGCCACCCCGACTCGGAGCCACTCCTAACTCGCTGGACCCACGAGGCGGGAAACCTCCAACCTCTGGAGAAGGATGAGGCCACGCAACCCAAGAATAAGGCCTGAGAGGCTTCTTCCAAATAGTGATGCACAAGGTGGATTGAAGCAACGACATTTGGGCCGGGGGGCTTCACACCCACAGAAGTTGCCCATTCAGGAATTGGCCTGGCGAAGGACCCAACCATATGCAATTGTGAGTATGGCAATTGTGAATATCGTCTTCGGTGGCGCTCCCTATGGGGCCACGAATCGCATGAGCGGCGCGCCGAAATATGTGGCGGGATACACAACACGAGCGAAGATGATAGGTCTGAGTACGAGAGACTGAGCGCGGGTGGGTCTGCGCGCGAGTGAATCTGATTATGAATGAGTTTGCGTGCGATTGAATCTATTTGCATGAATGCGATCATGCCTACACCTAGTATAAATGTATATGAATGTAAACGGTTTGGGTACGCCTGGCTCTGAGTACCCGTGGCACTGATCGCGGCTGCCACAGGGAATTCACCCGGAAACCTCGATGGCAGCGCCCGCCCGCCGCGACACCCATGTCGGCACGCCCCTCACAAGGATCGCGCCCGCTTCCTTCCCTTGTTTTTCTCTTTCTTTGCTCCTGCACTCCAGAGTCCAAGGCTGCAAGCGCGGCGCAGCGCGGAGTCCCCGCGACGCGCGCTGGTCGCCCCGAAGGGGTCCCAGCGACGCGCGCGGGTCGTCCGCTGCGCGGAGCAAAGAGAGCTAGCTGGCTGGCTGCTGGCGGGCAAGGATCCAGCCGGGCAGACCGACGACGGGCGGGCGAGGCGCTGGGCAGAGCGCCGCGCGGAATTCCCGCGACGCTCTCTGGTCGCCCCGAGAGGGGCCCAGCGACGCGCAGGCGGGTCGCCCGCGGCGCGGAGCAAAGAGGGCTAGCTGGCTGGCTGATGGCGGGCAAGGATCTGACCGCTGGGCAGAGCGACGACGGGCGAGCGAGGCGCTGGGCAGAGCGCCGCGCGGAATTCCCGCGACGCGCTCTTGTCGCCCCGAGAGGGCCCCAGCGACGTGCGCGGGTCGTCCGCGGCGCGAGGCCAATTAGTTGGGCAGTCGAGAGAAGGCGCGGCTCGGGCGGGCCGCTCCTCAGGTCAAGCCTCGCGGATGAACTCGGTGAAGCCCAACTCCCTGGCGAGGGCTGTCGCCTCCCTCCTGCGCCGCTTCGTGCGCGCCGCAAACTGCTGCAGCTGCTTCCGCAAGCCCTCCGGCGGCCCTGCCAGGAAGACTTCGAGGCGCGGCGCCCGCGTAAGCAGGAGGTCCTCGTGGCGGGTGGCGCGCGAGAGCGGCGCATGTAGCTCCAGCCAACAGTCGTCGTCCTCCTTCGTGCCGTTCCCGACCTCGTCGGCCGAGGGGGCAGCGCGCCTGACAGCCGACGGCCCAAGGCGAGAGTCCACAGGACCGAAAGAAGGTCTGGAGCCCCCTATGGGGCCACGAAACGTGCGAGAGGTGTGCCAGAATGGGGCGGCGCCGCCACGCGAACTGCGCCGCTGGGACCTTAGATGGAGCTCCTTATGGGGCCACGAAACGTGCGAGAGGTGCGCCCAAATGGGGCAGCGCCGCCATGCGAACTGCGCGACTGGGACCTTAGGTGGAGCTCCCTATGGGGCCACGAAGCATGCGAGAGGTGTGCCGAGATAGGGCAGCGCTTCCATGCGCAGTTCGCCATTGGGGCCTTTAGGTGGAGCTCCCTGTGAGGCCGGGGAAAAGTGTGAGGGGTGTAACAAAATGGGGCGGCGCCGCCACGCGAACTGCGCCACTGGGACCTAGGTGTGGCTCCCTATGGGGCCACGAAGCGTGCCACGGGTGTGCCAAAATGGGGCGGCGCCGTCATGCGAATTGCGCCAGTGGGCCCCTAGATGGAGTTCCCTATGGTGCCACGAAGCGTGTGAGGGATGTACCAAAACGGGACGGCGCCCCCATGCGAACTGCACCACTGGGACCTTGAGTGGAGCTCCCTAAGGGGACACGAAGCGAAGGAGAGGTGTGCCAAAATGGGGTGGCGCCGCCATGCGAACTGCGCAACTGAGACCTTAAATGGAGTTCCCTATGAGAACATGAAAACGTGCGAAAGGTGTGCCCACATGGGGCGGCGCCGCCATGCGCAGTTCGCCACTGGAGCCTTAGGTGGGGTTCCCTATGGGGCCACGAAACGTGTGAGGGTGTGCCAAAATTGGGCAGCGCCGCCATGCGAACTGCGCCATGGGGCCCCTAGGTGGAGCTCCCAATGGGACCACGAAGCGTGTAAGGGGTGTGCCAAAATGGTGCGGCGCTGCCATGCTGCGCCAGGGGACCTTAGATGGAGCTCCTTATGAGGCCACGAAACGAGTGAGGGGTGTGCCAAAATAGTGCGGCGCCGACGTGCGAACTGCGCCATTTGGACCTTAGGTGGAACTCCATATGGGGCCACGAAATGTGCGAGGGGTGTACCAAAATGGGGCGGCGCCGCCATGCGAACTGCGCCACTGGGACCTTATATGGAGCTCCCTATGGGGTCACGAGACGTGTGATGGGTGTGCCAAAATGGTGCGGCGCCGCCATGCGAACTGCACCACTGGGACCTTAAGTGGAGCTCCCTATGAGGGCACGAAACGTGTGAGGGGTGTGCCCACATGGGGTGGCGCCGCCATGCAAACTGCGCCACTGGGCCGTGTAGGTGGACCGCGAAACGTGTGAGGGGCGTGCCAACGTCAGATGGTGACGAGAGCACAGAGGAGGGAGGAGAAGAGGACGATATGAGAAAAGGAGGAGAAAAGAAGAGAAGAGATGAGATGATAAGAAGACAGGAGGGGTGCGGGGACCGTCTCTTCAAAACGAAGACCCGACACCACAGGATGGTTGGGACAAAAATGAATGACATGGGCAGCCCCGGCACCTGTGAACGCTGGACTCGGGGGATCGCTTGCAACATTGGCAGTCATCGTTAGGCCGGTTACCTGTTTGAAAACGCTTGACTTCAGTCCAGTAAACACCGCACGCAATTAGTCTTACCATTTCGGCCAGAGCTGGGTGAGTTGATGACTCGAGATTATCGATCCAAGCTGCTACATGCTGAAACCACACGCCGTGTTCAACCCCCCCGCCGCCATGTCAGTGTATGGAGACATGGCGCCACGCCATCGCTTCGATGGTGGTTTCCAGGGGTATCAAGAAGATTGGCAGGTGGCGCATCTCATCGGTCAATCAGCTCCCCCCGGGAGTCTTCTGGAGCCCGCAAAGTAGAGCCACGCACTCCCATTCTGCAGACAGCACGAGCCAGGCAGGTCACCGAACTTGGGCCCACCCGTTGGCCACACGAGCCAGGGACGAATTTCAGCGACCCCGAATCCTCTCGGCCAGGCCCTCTATCGATAAAATTCTGGCACATCTGGCGCCGACCAACTTCCGAATGCACTGGATCCACGGATCCTCCCCAGCTCCGAAAGACACTTTGATCGCCGTGGTGGAAGAGCCACGCCGGGGACACTCACTGCCCCGTCGGAGGAGGAGGAGGAGGAGGAGG